TCCTTCAGTATCATTGGCTCTTGATCATATGCTACCTCTTAAAACAGTTGAAGATTAACCGTTTTCTTTTGGTACAGTGACTCTGTGTATTCCTTCCATCTTCTCTTGATGCTTTCTGAATCATTCAATAATTTGCCTAGAGAATCTTTCAATAATCAAAGTGGAAGCTTAAATTTTTTCTTCAGTTCCCTCAGTGTTTTATAAGCCAGCTCATGTGTACCTTGTCAATTATAAGGTGGGCTCCTTAAGCAATCCAGGTAAAGGTTAACTACAGGGTGAGGCATCCCAGCCAATCCCTCAGGTGGACTGTAAACTAGCCAATATGGATCACTAGAAAGACACTTACTCAAAAAACAAACTGACCAGTCCTTTGGCAGACTGTGGCCCAACCACAGACACCATAAAACTACATGAAGCACCCCCAACAGAGAATTTCTAAATTTTTAATACTTAAAGAAAAAAAGTTAGTGAATAACACAAAGAGCTAGAATCAAATAATTTATTATAAAGGAACTTTTGCCATGTTTCTGTTTTATCAGCATACATAATGACATTTTTGTGTTTATATAACTGAAACAGAAAAACTTAAAAAATTACTGTGAAAAACAAGAACAGGATCAGGTAACAACTTGTGATTTTGTGCCCGAAATAAATCTGGTTTGCATGATAGGAATGTTGATTAAACAACTGACCTGGACAGTCAATTAGAACTCAATCCTTAATTTTTTTAATTAAAGGAAGAAGAGAAATAAAACATACTGACTTTATAAACTCTCTAAATCCCAAAATTGGTCTGGTTGATTATATAATCAAGATAAATTCTTTAATTCTATTTTCTGCTCCTAAGTAACTAGATATATTTGCTGATCACCAATGAGCAAAGAAAAAGTGAAGCTCTAATTCCACTGAGTTCACTTAAAACTGTATTAATGTGAGAACCAAATCCTTCCACACACTACATAAATGCGATTGCCCTTTAAGGAACAAGTGCCTTTTTAACAGACTCTGGAACTCGACTTGCATAATAGTCATAATTCCTCAGGGTGGCCAGGACTCCTGCTGAGTTCATATGCTTCACTTCTTTATTGTAATGAAGGTCATTTCCATGGATATCTGTTAACTTGCCTACATAAAAACAAACAACATTAACACAATGCTACTATCGGACTAGATCACTGTTTTAAGAACAGCCAGTGAATTTTTACAAAAAAGGGGAGAACATGAGTGACTATGAAGACTGTTGTTGTTATTAAGTGCTGTTGAGCCGCTATACATAGTTACCCTGCATAGTTTCCAAAAAGCAGCTAGTGGGTCTGAACCACTACCTTGTAGTTCAAACCAACCTTGCGGTCAAGCGCTTATCCTGAAGACTAAAAAGTTATAATGCACTTGGAATTTAACTAAAAGCCATGTTTTAACTAAGTGAAAAGATAAATGATTTTTATTTTCCTTTGATTAAAATTAGTTTCATTTATCATTTTTAATCTATGTTTTGTTATCAGTTCATTTTAAATTGGAACATAATTGGCAGAACTAGCTAAACACTGGCATAAAATCAGAAAATGTGCTTGCTCTCCTCCTGAGGTGATAAGTTTCCCAGTTGGTTATACTTTATCACCATTACTCCCATTTAAAA